TCTGAAACTACCCGCTCAAACTATTCATAACAATTAGATTATGAGATCAAGATTTTAAAGACGATTAAAAATTAAGAGCGATAAATCTGGTTGTTTTAGTATAAATCCACTTCTTGTTTAAAACAGACATGTTTCTGTGTTTGTTTTTTAATACATTCTACTACTATTAGGTTCCCAACTACTCTCGTACCCGGACCTTCCGCGGCCATTTGAGTACGAGATTAGTTCCTCACTTCACCATCTGTTTTAACTCTCATTTTCAAGATCAAGAGAGTTGCAGCAACTGAAGTGTCTGCCATAATCTATATCAGGTCTTAAGCCAGCATCAAAACTATATTTTGAACATCTCTTCCTTGAACTGTTCAACTACGTATGACGGAGGAACCAGGAACTTGGGACGCTAACAGAAACATGGAAAATGTAGACAGATTGACAAGCAATAAAATATCATGTTTATGTGTGGCGGGCTCTCTCACTCTAAGTGTGCCACGGCGTTTATTGTCATTGTTTTCGAAGAAATGATCTTTCAGTCCAAAAACCTACTAGTGCATTTCTCTTCCTATCTTCGTTCGGCTTCATTATCAAACAAAAGTTTTTTTTTTTTTTTCGGAGATACGACATTTTGCGTTCATTTGTGGTCGTAATCCTCCACTCCAAAAATAACCAGAGCGTTCCTCTTCCTGTTTTCGTGCAGCTTTATTATCAAACACAATAACTGGAATCAACGGAAGTTTAATTGTTGTTTTTTTGCTTTTTTCGGAGATACGGTACGATACGCATGTCACAAGAAAGTTAATTTTAGAAGTACTTGCACACAGTTGTGTGGCTCTTTGTCCACAATTTCATACCCTGGGTTGTTTTATTCAGTGGGATGGCAACTACAGAATTTTTGGGACATGCAGCATGTTGTGTTTATTTGTGGTCGAAATTCTCCAGTCCAAAAATAACCAGGGCGTTTCTCTTCTTGTTTTCGTGCAGCTTCATTAACACAAGGAATGTAAGCAATATCAGTTCAGTTTTTTTATTTTTCGGAGAAACAGTATGTTGCGTTCATTTGTAATCACGAAAGGTCATTAACCAAGTGGCATAATGCGAAATACATGCGAAATACATGCCTCGCCAAGCCAACAGAGAGTGATTACGAAAAATGAAAGAGGAGTTTTATGTTCATTTGTAAAGTTACTAAAATGAAAATGGTACACAGTTTTTTTTAACATTCGAAATAATATTTTGTTTCCAGTCTTAAGAACACATTTATTCGTTGCGATCGAGAAGGTAATATGAAACTAGTTTGAGTCAATGAAATTTTCTTAGCCTGACCAAATCCACAAGAACGCAAGGCTTGTCCAAGATTCTAAGGCATTGTAACAAGTCATAAAGACTGTCAGTTTTTTTGCTTGTTTTCTCCAAAGAGCTTATTAACTTTTGTGGGTTTGTGTGCATCGTAAAAATGAAGAGCATCGTTAGAGTAGGAAAATGAGGGAAAAACATAGGAAGTACGATATACTGCTTTCACTTGCGGTCATTTGTGATCGTAGATAAGTAAATACGTCAGTATCCCACTGGAAACAAGCTGTTTTGATCATAAATTCTTGTAATTTTTTATTCTTAAATCGATAAGTAAATGCGTCAGTATCCTGCTGAAAACAAGCTGTTTTGATCATAAATTCTTGTAATTTTTGATTCTCTGACCTTTCTCTGAAAAACGAAAGAGTACACCCAGGACGACCTCTGAGTTCTTGAGATTCTTTCAAGAATGAAACTACTCAATTACAATACTAGATCAATAGAAGAACGTCATCAATGTTGAGCGCTCTTTTTTCCTTCTGTCAACTATTTATTCTACAGCCAACCTCGGCGACGAGTCATTGTTAGTCACTGGGATCCTGCCGATAACATCTCTTCAGCATTTTAAGTGATCATCTTACTTCAACTTCCGCAACTTCTGAGAAAAGTCAAAGAGCTTTGGTAAGTTGATTTCTCATTTCACTTTTTAGCTGATTGATCAAGCAGCGAATGCATCTGCCCAAATTTGTTATTTGTGTGTAGAGGGCGACTTCAGGCGTGGTACTAGCTGAATGCCCTTACAGCCTATGAGACAAAGGCCGTAGACTGAACTCTAGGAACATTTCAGATGAAATCAATGGGGTCGTTATTCCAGAGAGATGCCCTCAAAAAAACATAACGAAGAAGAGTGTTTACTTTCGGTTCGAGACGCGTTTGAATGTTTCCTCAGGCAGTCAAATGACTTTCTCGGAAAAACGTCAACATACTTATATAATTTATGAGGAACTTTGCGCTTAAGGTACACTTCTATCTGTTTAATTGACGTATTTTGAGTTCCTTGTAATAATGTTGGAAATTACAATGATCATGATGAAATTATGCGGCGTTGGTTATATGCAATTCGTGTTCGTCATCAAACATCTACTTCGGCATACGTATTACTTAAAAAACTAAACTCGGTAGAATGGTTGAGTGATACACTGCGTTGATTAGGATCGTTATCAACTTCCGTTTAACTTAAAGCAGCCAAGATTGCCTCCTGCCGTCATTCTCTCTACAACATTGTTTCGCATAAATTTTATTTATAGAACTGAAACTAGAAGTGTCTTAATCTTTTCATTTTGGGGGGGAAGACCATCGACATTTTCCTCGTAAAGCAATGTACCTCGTTATCGACTTCATAGCATTGAAAAACGTTTGTTTTCGAAGGAAGTAAATAACAAATTTACCACCGAAAAGTTTTCAATTGATGTGCTGTTGTCGGTATGGCGGTGGTTATCTCTATGGGAGAGTCAAAACAGATTCATCAATGGAATCAACGGAAGTAGACCCTCTCTATGATTTTAGTAGATGATTTAATGAAATTAATTTCGGCCTTCGAGAGCGCTTTTTTCCCAATTTAGGCAATTTTTATCAGGAAACATCAAAACATCTTTCGATTCGCCCTATGAGAAGGGTTTTTGCCTCACGTCATTTCAAAATAACTTCGTAAAATAAGCTTTAGTTAATAGTGGTTATAGAACATGTTTCTAACTGCAGTCACTTAAGAGAACCTTTACTGTGATTCAGGTCTTCTGGCTGAAACGATAAAGTGAGGTCCACTCCGTTAGTTTACCTTTTCATCTTGAGAAAACTTGTCTCTGCACTTGACGTAAATAAAACAATCGAACCGATGCTCTAAACTTTGCATAACAACTAGTCAGAAAAACCACAAGTGCATTTATAATCAAAGTTCAAACAGCAGAGCACAAACTCTACGAGGATAGACTCACAGTAAGAATAAAACACGACAAACAGGAATATATGTCATATAGCGCAAAAAGGGGAGGTACAATTTGTTAGGAGTCAGTTATACAGAGGGTACATCTCATGCACTCAAACTACAAACCGAAGCAATACAAAAGTCAACAATGGCGTCTTTTCTTCGTAGCTAAGCACTTCTAAGGAGGACTTACTAATGATAGGAGACAAGAGAATTTATGACAAGTTTCTTTTTAAAGGAACTCATTTGGTTTCGTGAAGCGTCTCTGATTTCGAGGCGGAAAGCCTTTCCATTCGTTTGGAAATCGTTTTTTGCATTTTCCAAATAGAAATTCTTTTTCGAGAAATATCCTACCCCAGTTAGCGCACTATATCATTTTTTAGACTAAATGAGGTCTATCAAGGAATCACTTCCGTTTTGATTTAAAACCTTAATTTCTTTAATCAAGATCGAACATCTTTGCGTAAGTAGTAGTTAAGTGTATTCCTCGTCCATCACTGTATCTAGTTCGAGGAGTAGGGAATGTTGCATTTGCAAAGTGCTTGCGGTTGTCTGTTTCATGAGTTCGATCGCATATGGAATTTCGAGCAGTGCAAGGTAAACGGACAAAAATTTACTTTTTTGTCCTTCAAAGACAGATACATAACGCACATGTACACTTTGTTTTTGCTCAAAATATCCCTTATTACTGTAGCTCAATTCCTGAAGATTCTCGATGAAGATAGATATGTATACCTCTCCGGTAAACTATAACCTGTTCTCTTTTGAGATGTTTGGTATTTTTTTCTAGAAAATCATGTGGCGACTTGAAACCAACATGACTCAAGTCTTCACGTAGTTTGGCCTGTTTCCAATAATCATTTTGGGGTAACTGAACAAAGATAAAATAAAAAGTGTTCTGACCCGCAGAGATATGGGCATACTTAGTCTCAATAAAAGGGTGCATGTCCTCAACTACATGGTCTAAGTTTGGATAATAGTATCGATTTTAAATGCCTATTGATGAATTGATGATCAAGCATGGAGCTGGCAATCATTGTAAACGAGTGTTCGCTATTCCGCTA